CAATATGGTTCATGGGGTCACGAAGAGTCGGACACGACTTAACGACTGAACAACAACAACAAGACCAACCAGGATGATTAAGGGGCTAGAAGCAAAGAAGAGAAATGGAAGGAGCTGGTATGTTTCGCCTCAAGAGGAGAGGAGCGAAGCGGGTTATGACAGTCCTCTTGAAAGGAGATCACACAGAAGGTGGTTCTGTCCTGTCCTCCATCTTTCCAGACTGTAGGACACAGCATCGTGGATCATCATCATGGACCATCATCATGGATCATGAATGATCATCATGGATCATGAGAGATCATCATCATGGACCATCAGAGATCATCATCATGGACCATCATCGTGGACCATCAGAGATCATCATCATGGATCATCATCACGGACAAAGCATCATGGATCACAGCATCATGGAAAGAAGTTGAATGTTCAAAAAAAGGTCTCCTCTAACAATGAGATAATTTTGACCACGGAACCAGGGTCTCCAAGCAACAGCTAGCTGGTTGGTTGACTCGCCATCGCGGGCTGCATCCGAGCAGAGGCTGGTCCTGAATATTGGGTTTGGGTTCCTGCATTTATTCAGGGGCTGGGCTCAGCCTCAAGGGCTCCCCTTCCCACTTGGTCTGCATAGTGTCAGACTGGGAACACTGGATTAGCAGCTTCAGAGTTTCCTGCCAGACTTGCCAATTTAGTGGAACCAAGTGCCCTCTACTGGCTATTGAAACACTTGCTCTGGGTCCACCTCTGGATTCCTTGCAAACTTTCTCCAGTTTGCTCCGTCGATGAATAAACGTAAACCTCTAGAACAGCAGTCTTGGGGCCCTCTGGAAAGCATTGGCAAAATTCTTGGAGTTGGCCCCTACACCTTGTGGGGTGATATTGATAATTTCAGTGGGTTTTTGCACAGTGTGTTGTAACCAGAGCGGCTAAGGACCTCTTGGTTGCACATACACAATGGACTAAGCTTTGCTAGGGTTAACCAAGGTTAGGTTTGGGGGGAGGACAGGTTAACATGTTGTGGGAATCCAGGTCATTTGGTTCGTTTAGGATGTGATGTGTTGTGTCAACCCGGAAGATGGGTCACTTCACTATCCAGGTTAAACATGATGTGCGAAGACAGCCCTTGCGTTCCAGGAAATGTCCACCTTTCTTAGAAGCAGATTGGCAGGAGGAAGAAGGATAAGGAAGACACATAAACATATTAGGTGTGTTCCTTGGGTACACATGGAGCAGCAATGAAAACATTTCCCAGGAATCTGTGGCGGAAGATATTCTAAAATAAAGATGGCCTGAACATTTTGATTAGCCAAGTGTCTTTGGACAGACTCGCTCCGTGTTTTTCCTTTTCACCACACGCACTCTGCCACCGTTGCAAAGCTCAGGACACTTAAAAGGATTAAAAGTACAGTTCACCTCCAGACGTTAAAATCAACCGTTGCTTTAATACAAGCTCCAACATGCCCAGTGGGGATAGGTAAATATGGGGTGCTGTTAGGGTCACCCTAACGGGGCTGCAAAAATCCAGCCTTAAGGATTGTCTGGAGTTTGTAAACCCTCTTGATGCCATCTTCAGAATCTGCAGGTGGGAAAACCGCTGTTGAGAGATTCTGTGTTACAAAAGCAAGAGTTAACTCAGATAAAGTCAAGAGTCTTAAAGTTTCAGCTTGCATGTGAGTGTCTCTTTGCAAACATACAGAACAGAGATTCACTATTTATGTCAGCATTTTTCAAACTTGGCCACTCCAAGATGTGTGGACTTCAACTC